CAAGAGCGCACACACACTGAGAGCGCCCCAGCCACAGGGTCTTTCCCAGCCTGGGTGATGGGGAACAGCTCCTCTGTAGTGATGGAGCTGGTGGGTATCCACCCCCCAGGTGCACCCAGAACGGGTGGTCACCTCAGTCTGGTAGCAGAGGTGTCCCCAGGGCCATGTTGTCCCCACACTGCTGTGCGTCACGAGCCGCCGGTGAGGATCCTGCAGCCCCACAGACCTCCCCCCACCATGACGGTGTCGCCGGGGGAGACGGTGAGGCTGGGCTGCGAGCTGTCCCGAGCGGATGCGCCCGTGTGCTGGGCCAAGGAGGGCGTCAGGCTGGAGGCTGGGGGCAGCTTGGTGCTGGAGGAGGAGGGTGTCCACCGCCGCCTGCTCATCCCCGCGGCCCGAGCCGAGCACTCTGGAAAATACATCTGTGACACCGCCGATGACGCAGTGACCTTCACCGTCCAAGTTTTGGGTGAGCAGGAGGCTGGGGGAGAGCCAGGAGGGGAGGTGCAGGGTGCACAGACCCTGGAGACCCCAGCTCTGTTGGTGCTGGATGCTGCAGACCCGCCGGTCAGGATCCTGGAGAGGGACGTCATGCCGACCCGCCGGCACTGCCGGGCCATGGAGGACCTGGTGCTGGAGGTGCAGGTGGAGGTGAAGTGTTACAAGGACGGTGAGAAGTTGCAAGGCATGGGGCGCGTGCGGCTGGTGGAGGACGGCACGCGCCGCTCGCTTGTCATCCTGGGCGCCACGGCTGGGGACGCAGGGGAGTACCTCTGTGACACCGGCAACGACAGCATCGTGTTCTTTGTCACCGTTGAAGGGGAACAGGGTGTCCCAGGGGCTGGGGGGGGGCACAGGGGTTTTTTTTGGGAGCAGGCTGCACCCACGCAGGGACTCTGGAAACCCCTGCGCTGCCCAGCTGCAGCCAGAGGAGGTCCGGACAGGATCCAGCCTTTGCAGCCCCTGGCACAGCGCTGCTCCCGTGGTGACAGCCCATCTCTCCAGTCCCAGAGCCACCGGTGACCATCGTGGGCAGCACGGGTGCCACGGACCATCGGTGCCTGGTGGCCGGGGAGGACCTGGTGCTGGCTTGTGAGCT